TTTTTCTCTCTCTCTTTTGTCATTGAATGCGTATTTCTATATCGTCTCTCGTTACAGTGAACACACGTATGTTGCAGGGAAGGGTTAGATCGCGCCCTTGACCTTTTCTTTGTTACCTCACGAAATGTCTAGTTTAGAATGGCCGTTTTTTAGTCGTTTCCTTCGAACTGTGCCATTTCTTCATTTGTTCATCATATTTTCCAAATGTTACTGCACTGTGGACTATACACGCGTTTCCTCAACAGATCCACCTTCGGATGTGCAGAACTTAACGTGTATATCAGCAAACTTGGAGTATTTGAACTGTTCGTGGAGGCAACCGTACAACCCTGCCCAAAATAATGATTATGGGGCTTACCTCTACAACAGGACATGGTGAGGCAGGGGTTTTGTTAGATTTACACTGAACTTTAATTTGGACTCCCTGTCTCTAGTCTAATAATAGGTATCCCCTTGCACCCCCCCCCCCCCGCCATGAGTGTTAAAGGAGGGAAACAAAAAGATCTACTTTTAAAAATCCGTTTTAGTTCGTTATTTGATGAAATGATGAAATGACAAATCACACGAGGCTAGATAGGCTTTAGTATACAATACCATTTTGGGCGGGAAACTGCGTAGTCCAAGCAGGCATCCGCACCCCTTGAGAAATGATTGCATGTGCTGTTGCCCACGCTTACAAACTTCGCCAGGCACTGCAACTACGGGCGCGACCAGTGCGTGGCGAAATACCAGCAACGGGTACAGGCCAGAGGACCCGTCCCCCCGCTGATCTTCAGTACCGAGAACGTCCTCGGACCCGCGAGCTTCACCCATACCATTGACAACTGGGCTGCAAGTAGGTACTCGGTATTCGCTCAGCTAACTTCAACTCGTATATGTGATAGGTATCATTTAAAGAGCCGACAGCAATCTGCTAACAGCTATAATACCGTCACTGGGGAGAAATACCTATTCCTGTCAGTCTTTTAATTACAGTGTTACCAAAACCTGCTGAAGACTTTGCGGTCGAAGAAAAGTCCCCCATGAAGATCTCGGTGACTTGGACGTCACCTTCTCCCCTGAGGAACTTCCCGCCGGGGCTCTTCTACCGATTAGATCTTCGCGGTCTTAATCATTCTGTTTCTACCATGGTATTGCTTTTTGTTCACGAAAGCGTATTGTTTTTTCATTGTGCACTATTTTGTTGCCATGTTGAATGTGCAATGCATTACGTGAGGTGCTTTGTGATAACATTATTGACTACATTTAAACCGGAAATTCGTATACTAACATGAATAACAAAACTTCCATGATCTATTTATCTTTCTATGCAATAACTTCCGCGACAGACAAGCGTGTCTCTAATCGTGTTCATTACTTGCCTCTTAAAAATCTCTCCACACCCCGGCTCAGACTACAGTGGGGAAATACAGTAACAGCAGCACCTGGGAAGTGGAGACCCAGGTTCCGTTCCCGTGGCTCACTTACGAGATCAAGCTGCGACTCCGCTCCGGACGAAGGAACGCCACGACCGACGCCCACTGGGAAGATGGCTGGTCGTCCGAACCCGTCCACGAGGCAGTCGAAATAAAGCCAGCAGGTAATTTCTGACAGTGAGTGGTTAAGTATCAACTATTTTCATTTGTGCACTCCGACGTTTATTAGAACCTTATAAGAAAAATAGTACCATGATGGTTCACAGGAAAATCTGTTACTACGCTAAAGAGAGATCATTGTGAACCTTAAGTACCATACATCGCAACAAGGACATACAATAGCATACGACACAGTAACGATTCAACATAAAGAGCCATACCAATATTACCTCATGATATCAGCACCACAGAAATTCATGATACACCGACTATGCAACCACTTGCCACAGCGCCGTGGGCAGCCCCGGAGGTGGACGTCGGGACCTTTCGGGTGAACAGGAGCGCAGACTCCAGTCGCATGGAACTGACGGCGATGTGGCGACGGCTGCCCCCCCTGCTGCACAACGGCCCCGGCCTGCGCTATGTGGTGATGTGCTCGAATTACAGGTGAATAGGGACTGGAATGAGGTTTTGTGCAAACTGATACTAAATGCAGATGTATATATATATATATATATATATATTATATATATATATATATATATATAATATATTATAATATATATATATATATATATATATATATATATATATATATATATATATATATATATTATATATATATATATATATATGCATTACCGAAAGTGATGAGAGTGATCTGTAGAGATACTTCCTCGCAGCTTTCGGAATTTTATTGCAGATTTAAAGTTGTATTTGGCTGTGATAAAACCTCATGCAATGACCAGTAATAAATCTGTTGGCAATTATGGAATATTGTTCTTATACTATTATGAAGGTGGATTAGAGTCATCAAATCATCTTTGGCTAATATTCATAATGTAAATTGTGTTAATTCCGATTGGTAGTAGTTAGTTATGCTGGTGTTAACGCTAATATTCGCCAGCTGTGATTATAATTACTCCATTCTGATTCCTTCTTTCGCGTAAAATAAATAGAAAATGTTCATCAGAAAGTATTTATCATTATCATTGTCCATTTCAGCAAGATTGTCAACACTACTGAGCCAATGGCAACTTTTCCCAAACCTACCAACTGGTTCATACAGGTAATTATAGGAAAATGTATAAATGTATTAAGAAATGTCCATGAAAGTGATTACTTTTCACCAGTACCTTAAACTTACGCAGAAACATACACATATATAATACACATGCATACACAAACACACAAATACAAATGTACATATATTTGCATTTACATCACCTACATCTAAACCTATTTTCCAGGGTGACTATAAAGCCTGAGAATACCGAAGGACCCAGTAACGAAACGTCACATATAGATATCAACGAAAAATTACCACTCGCTCCCGCCCTGTCTGTTGTCGTCTTCCACAGAACCACAAAACAGTATGAACTCAGGTACTGGACTGTTCTTTTGTTCCGAGTGATTTGCTGTAGCGAGTAAATGGACTAAATAACCGATTTATTATTTACTTCGCCTAATTTAGGCTGTTTCTAGTCCAAATTATAGAATTGTGTGACTCATTTCTGGTCGAATATGAGTATTTTTCAAAGTTAAACAGAATATAAGCTATATAGTTAAGTGAATCATTCCGAAGTTATTTTCAGAGGAACTGCGAATTTAACGCATGCTATTGCGAAAGTTGCTAAAGGCTGTCAAAGTGATATGGAATATATCAAAGGGTTAGTCATAACTAGAAAATAAATGGATTTGAGTCAACGTTTAAAGATGCTAAGATAATCGAAGAAAAATTTGAGATACAGGGTGGTAACAAGCCTATTCAAATTTTACATAATAGTAATGATAATAATGATGATGATAGTAATAATAATAATAATAATAATAATAATAATAATGTTGATAATAATATTGATAATAATAATAAGAAGAACGATAATAATAATGATGATAATGATGATTATAGTAATAATTATGGTAGTAATAGAAATAATAACAAATAAAATCATAATGATAATGACTAATAATAACAATAACAGTGATAATGATAATAATAATGATAATGATAATAATAACAATAATGGTAATAGTGATAATAATAATAATAACAATAACAGTGATAATGATAATAATAATGATAATGATAATAATAACAATAATGGTAATAGTGATAATAATAATAATAATGATAATAATAATAATAATAATAATAATGATAATAAGGATAACAATAATAGTGATGATAATAATATCAATGATGATGATGGTAATAATAATACTAATGATAAATAATATAAATAATAATGGTAAATAATAAAGATGATAATGATAGAATTAGTAATAATAATAGTAATAATAATAATAATGATGATGATAATAATAAAACAATACTACTACTACTACTACTACTACTAATAATAATAATAATGAGAGTAATGATAATAACTATAATAATAATAATGATAATGATGATAATGATAATAATAGCTACAATAAGGATAATGATGGTGAAGAGAATGAAAATGATAATGATAATAATAATAACAGCTATAATAACAATAATGGTGACAATAATAATAGTAACGACAATGATAATAAGTATGATAATAATGATAATAATAATAATGATAATAATAATAGTATTAAGAATAATAACTATGATGATGATGATGATAATGATAATAATGATAATAGTAATAATAATAATAATAATAATAATAATAATAATAATAATAATAATAATAATAATAATAATAATGATGATGATGATGATGATGATGATGATGATGATGATGATGATGATAATAATAATAATAATAACAGTAATCATAATAATAATAACAATGATATTAATAACTATGACGATGATGACAATGATAACAGCAACAACAACAATAATAATAATAATAACTATGATGATGATGATGATGATAATGATAGTAGCAGTAGTAGTAGCAGTAATACTACTACTACTACTACTAATAATCATAATGATAACAATGATAATAATAACTATGATGATGATGATAATGATAATAATACTAATAATAATGTTAATGATAATAATGATAATAGTGATAATAGTGATAATAATAATAATTAATAATAATATAATAATAATAATAATAATAATAACAATAATGATGGTGATAGCGATGATGGTGATAACAATAATCATAAATACAATAATAATTATAACAATATAGAATTAATAATATTAATACTACTTCTAATAAGGATATTAACAGTAATTAAAATAGTGATGATGATGACAATAATTATGATAATAACTACGGTCAAACGTATTTTACGTCTAATATCCTTTGCAGTAATACAAAACAAATTAGCAAATATATTTTCAGCTCATTAAGTACACATATATCGGCAGCACTATATTCTTTTACAGATGGGAAGGAGAAAGTAACTACACTTACACAGTTTATGTTTGCATCGACGACACCTCCAGCAAAGACTGCAAGGTAACAGGCAATATTTCATTGTCACCTACAAGTTGCTAGGTGTACGGTGTTAGTGCACCGTAAAACCAGTGGAAATTAAGTTGCTGATTCCTAATATTTCATGCAATTATCATTTGAGGATGTCGTTTCCCGTTAATAATGCACTGGACTACCGAAAAGTGTGCGGCAACATGTATTTCTATCAAGTAAACATTTAGCGTTGTCTTAGACGAACTCGTAATGAACTGTTACGTATTCCCACAGGGAATCTGTACTGGAAAGGTGTAGGAAGAACATCAGCCGTGAACATCACCCTGCAAAGAAATGAACATCAGCCAGAGCGCATCGAAACCGCGCTTCGCTCTGTCGGCCGAGAACGAGGCACGGGAATCCAGCGGCATTGGCGTGGGACACGTGCGCCGCCCGCAGGACTACGACAGCAAACCAAAATCACCTGTTATCGAGTAAATTGAGTTATCGTACGCAAAGCAGGTGATATCTTAAGCACAGTGCGACATATGAACTTTTCGCAAACTGTTGAAATTCCAATATTTTTTTATTTTTGTTTGTTTGAAGGATTACAGAAACGGACGAGAGCGTAATTTTGAGCTGGAGTCTGTCCTGCACCAACGCCTCGGGGATAGTGGAGAAGGCCGAGGCTTCGTGGGGACCAAAGCAACACAACTGCCAGTTGAAATATCATTTTCTTGGCTAATATGTAATCTGTTTATGAGGCTTATTGTAATGTTAAGTATCTTTCAATTAAGTAGGTATTTTGCTTCACTGAAATCATCACTAATAACTTGTATCACGGCCATTATTTTCCCATAAACTGGAACAAGTTTTATTTGCAATAATAGACATGCTTAAGACGTGTGTAGCCTTTGGTTAATATAAAAGTCCAAGAGTGCCTAATTACTAAGGCTTTGTTCATCCTACCCCTTTCTCTTCTTCACACACGTAAAGGCGCGCGCGCGAACACACACACACACAAGGTCCATATAAGCAAGGTCTATATAAGTACTTATATAGACCTTGCATATAAGTACATGTCTCGTCACTTCGAGTTCTGCGCAGCTTTGTGTGATAAGCCTATGACGTCACTAGGAGAGAGCTGAGAGCAGGGGAGGGGGGGGGGGATTACAGCATAGTAGGGTGGAGAGAGATAATAGAAACGGTAGGAAATGAGCAGATACTTAAGTAATTTTAGATGTCGGCACGTTGAACGATTTGCAAATTGGACAGATTTCACAGTCGATGATTATCAGCGATTGTTTATAGGCCTACATCATATATTCTACATTAATTTATTTTTGTAATTCTCATGTTGCAGCTTGGATATGGCATAATAAAGGCGTAAAATAAATAAAGAAGACATGGCATAATAATAATAATAATGGCAATACATAAACATACACATACATGTACATATATAAGCTGTAACCAACCACCGGGCATTGTAGCTTTGCGCGAGCCAGTCAGTCAAGTGAGCGAAAACGGAGAGATCCTTACGGATCTACCTCACATCAAAGAATAACCACACGATTAGCGTCGAACCCCTAGGCTCTGCCTCCTAGTGAGGTCATGCGCGAGACGGACGAATTTGAGTCGCTCGTGACGAGACCTGTACTTATATAGACCTTGCACACACACACACACCACGGGAGAAGCAACACGTGAAACCCCAGCTAGTCTGTCAAGACAGATTGAAATTGTGCAGCAGATGCCCTCACTACAGGCCAAGGTCTGGTCCCTTGACTCGAGGTGGCACCTCTAACCTAGGCTCTACTTCTCCCGTAGACCCTTAACCAGAGTGCCAAACTTGGAGGAAGATGTACGATCCTCAATCAACGAGGATCTATACATATCAGATGCCACCAGCACTGGGGCTTCTGAAGCTGGAGATGAGTATGATGTAAGTGACTCTGAGTAACCATCATGGCACACAATCTAAGCATTCTGCAGTGGAATATCTCCTTTCTCCAGTAAATAGTGTGAGCAAAGGAGCATTGACGTCGTCATGCTCCAGAAGATCTGTGCGCTTCTCAGGCTATCACGTCTTCGCCACCCCTGGATGATGGCGCTAGAGGCCTGATGACACTGGTAAAAGAAGCAATCCCGTGCTCCTTAATAGCCAACCCGCCGCACTATGGAGATGGCGTTGAATCTCTTGCTGTTGAGATACATCTGCCTGGGGTCCTCTAAAAATATACAATGTATATAGAAACCACTGTGGAGTGCTTAGATTTAACCAGGTCTGTGCTACTGCAGCACAAGACCGAGTGATCATAGGGGGAGACTTCAATGCACACATGGCCATGCTGAATCCCCGCAAAAGGCCGAACGCGGCAGGCATTCATATAGCAGAAGTGCTTGACACATTCCCTGAGATCGCTCTTCTCAACACCAAAGAACCAACGCATGTGGGAGGGGTCCTAGACCTCACCTTTGCCACTGCAACAATGGTAGGAGAATTCGGTGGTGTGTCGATGATACGGTTACAAGTGATCACTATGGCATAGTCACCACCCTCATGGATGCAGGTCCAGCCCAAAGACCACATCACATTCCTAAATGGAAAACAGACAAGGCCAACTGGTTTGCCTTCCAGAAGGCTTCGCTGTCTGAAAGACAATGAACCCACAATAATGAAATATGTGGATGTGCTAGGCAAGGCTAATCCAGGCCATAAATCAGGCCGCATCACAAACCATCCCCAAAACTCGTCCATGGTCCAGAACTCACAAAGACGCCTGGTACTATAATGACGAGATCAAAGAGGTCAACCACAGAGTCAACATGTGCAGAAAAAACTTCCAACGGCAAAGAACTCCCGACAATCTTGCCCTCCTGAGGGAAGCTGTTGCGGATACCAAGGAAACTGCCGAGTAAGGCAGACTTTTGGACACCAGATCAGCCTTACAGAGTTGTGGAAACGGGTCAGGCAAGCGACAAGCCGCCAAGCACCGAAATACACTCATCATGACCCACAGTCAGAAGCTCACTGACTGGTGCTTGAGTTCTCAGCTAGAACCAGCAACAACCTGCCTCCAGTGCTGAGGATAAACAACAAAACTTAAATCCAGGTAGGCTTGCTCTTCATCAGAGACAAGGCACTTGAACCCGATGACACGGATGCCTTGTTCTCTCTTGGGAACTAAGAAAGTCGTACAAAACCAGCTCTGGATCAGCACCGGGATCTGATGGGATCTCCAGATCATTTCGCATTTAGGTCTGCAGGAGAGCTTGCATTCTTGCGCTTCAACAAATCCTGGCAAAACCGCCACGGTGCCCCAGAGCTGGAAACAAACACAATATTCCCATCCCAAACCAAAGGAGCCTCAAGTACCGTCCCATCTCTTCTTCAGCTGCCTGGGAAAAACAGCAGAAGATGGTACTCAACAGGCTCCGATGGAAAACGGGTCCCCCCCATGAACACCTGCACGGGTTCACAAGGGGTAAGAGCACTGCACACAGCATTCCACACTCTTAAGCACAATCTGCACCTCGCCCGCGTGGTTGTCTTCCTTGACCTGGAGAAGGCTTTTGAACTGGCAAGCCACTTGCCATTCAAGAGACCCTAATCCACAAAGGAGTCAAAGGCAGACTCTTGGCCTGGATAGCTGACTATTTTAAAAATAGATCAGCAAATGTCAGATTTCAAGGCCACCTCTCACAGCACATGCCACTTGAAAATGGAACTCCTCAGGGAGGGGTTCTTAGTCCAGCCCTGTTTAATACCCTCATGTCCAACATACTCGACATTCACCTGCCAGAGGGATGCAAGATCATCTCTTATGCAGATGACTTGGCAATCATAGCCTCTGGCAACCACTGCCTAACTAGAGCTCAGCGTTGTCTGAACCTGGTGTCTGAAGAGTGTTGTAGGACGGGTCTAAAAATATCAGCAGCAAAATCCAAAGCAATGGCTCTGAGAACTAATGTCAGAAACAAAAAACTCACTTACAGGGTATGGATCTGGAATGGGTGAAGGACTATCTATACCTTGGTGTATGGATAGGACACACTTTCAAAAAGGAGATCCAATACCTGCTTGACAGAACCAAAAAAGACTGTCAGTCATAGGAAGACACATAGGAGCAGGACACAAAGTACTAAGATCATTCTATGTACATGCTGTCCCCTATTATTGACTATGCTTCTGTCGCCCTCATTGCTTCCAGCACAACATTAAAAAAAAAACTGGAAACAATACAAAATGAAGCTGCCAGGATCATTCTGGAAGTGCACAGATGGACAAAGGTCATCAACCTCCTCATGGAGGCTGATTTACCATCCCTGGACACCCGAATTGACTAATGGCAGCGCAGTTCCTTTCCAAGGTCTTGCAGGCACCCAGAAGCTCATACTTAAGGCAAAGAGTACTCAGACGCTACAACTAGACTATCAGTTTTTGGACAACTCTTGGCTCACAACACGCAGCCAGAGTATTGATACGCTTTCAGCTAAAAGAATCACTGCTTGCCAAGGGCATGGACTCCCCTCACCCTGACAAAGAACCCCGCCGTGGGCAAACGAAATGATCGAATTCTCAATCCTAAACCTTACAATGAGAAAAGATCAATATTCCATGCCTAGCCTAAAGGCACAACACAAAGGGTCATTGTCAAATAACCCCGGGTAGCATAACCTACTACACGGATGGATTTGTGGATCCCATAAACCACACTGCAGCGCCGGCTTCGCAACAAGGGATACCACAGCATCCATTAGGGTCACTGACAATGCCTCAACGCTCCAACCTGAAACGGTTGCAATCATGGAAGCCCTGACACACGCGTCCCTAAGGGTTGGACACGTGGTCATTCACACAGACTCTAGAGCAACCATTGACTTTACAGCATAATATGCCCCAAGACATCTACCTCCTGACATCTGTACTAACCATAACCCAAAGAATTCTCAGTCAGGGTAGAAGAATTATCATTAACTGGTCCCAAGCCACATTGGCATTCAAGGGAAAGCTTGTTGACAAACTGGCCGAAAAAGGTGGGTATGCCC